AATAAAAAGTGCCTCTAAAAAAAATTAAAGGCACTCAAGTGATTACCTCTAAATTTATACATTTAAATGTTATAAAGACACTTAATTGATAATTAGAGGCACATCTAATAAGTGCCTCAAAAAATGAGATATTGAGGCACATAATCTTGTCTCTAAAACACTAACGCTAAAAGCATTTTATAGAGGCATGTATGAATGCCACGAAATATACATTTCTAGGAGAATTTTAATTAAATTTGAGGCAAATTTATTTTCCTCTAAAAGTAATTTTAAGAATCATATTTAWGCTTTATAGCAACACTTAAAACTGACACTAAAGTATTATTTGGTCTTATTTAGAAACACTTGTGATTGCCTCTAAAGATCATTTATTTGTATTTTGAAAAGTTATTTTATCATATACAAAGCTTATGTAAACCTATTTACAAACACTTAATTTGCTATCTAAAACAATTCATTCACATATCTATCAAAAGATAACTATTGTTTCTAAATATTGTTTCATATTAATTAATACAAATTCAAAGAGAAAAGAGCAATCCATCTATAAAAACATATGGAATAAAATATACAAAAAATAATTCACTTTTCTATTCTAAGAAAAAAAATGTATTTCATCTTGACACCATCTGCATTCTCTTTCTTCTACAATCTGCAAGAAAAAATAATACAAAAAAAATAGTCAAATTAGTAATTATGATTGCCTCTAAATGTCTAGCCTCTAAATGTTATAGAGGCACTTGATTGATGATTAGAGGCATATTTGATAAATGCCTCAAAAAATACAATATTGAGGTATATAATTATGCCTCCAAAACATTATCGTTAAAAAGCATTATATAGAGGCACGTACGAATGCCGCCAAATGTACATCTTCACAAAATATTGGTTCCTCAATATATATCTTCCAAAATTCTTCTCCTAATTTTACATCACCCATTTTTTTTTATGARTCTTTGCTAACAATAGTTAATTTAGCCACACATACTTGTTTTCCTCAAACTCTTAAGAGAACTTTTTGTTACACCCTATTATGACATCCTATTGTTAGTAGAACAATACCCTAAAAATATATTTAAACAAAAATATCAAATCAATTTTRTTAAACTACATTGGGCCTATGATTGTAAGTACTCTTCTCTTTTCTAGTAAATAAAGTATACAAATAATAAAATATCATCAATTAACATATAATAATTATATAATCGTAATAGTAGTTATTTTATATGTACTTATTCCATACCTCCAAAATTCATTCTTTTGTGCATTGTTGCCAAAGTGACTTGAGACAAATGAATAATAACTTGAAGATATCTGTTAATTAATAATGCTATCAATGATATTATATAATTTATAACTGATGAAGTTGACCAATGCGGCCCAACTTGATCCAAGTTGGTCAATTTTTCTAGTATTTCCAATTGACTTTGGTTCAACAATTTCTCAGTACAATAAAAAAGGAGCTAAGAGTTGTAAGTTTGCTGTTGTGTTAGCTGTGTAGTCCTAGTGGAAATGTAGATTTAAGTCCCACTACCTGTTACCACCTACCCTAAGAGTTATAAGTTTGTTGCATTAAAATACCAAAAAATAAAGAAAATAGAAGAATGAATTCCAATCCCTTGAGCATTCTCTTTGCTTAGTTATAAGAAAAATAAGGAGTATTCTAGTCAGACTAGCCTTCTAAATATGTAAGGTTCTCATTGTTTGGTGAGTATACTTGTTCATGGGCTGAGCTTTCACTTGTATCAACATAATATATTCAGGCCCAACCATTGGGCCTAGATCTTAGGCCTGAGTCGGACCCTCACAAAAGCCCGAGGCTTGAAGCCCAACATGAATAATAAAAGTTAAACTAGGATTATGAATGGGGACGCTAGAGTCCCGCTCTGATTGTTGAAGAGAGAGAGAGAGAGAGAGAGAGAGAGAGAGAGTTGTTTCTAGTTGTCAGAGTGCTACTGTAGATGCTGCCGGAGCTGTTGCAGAATGGGGATTAGGGACGCTGCCTTTGGTATGAATACACAGAGATTAGGGAGAACCAAAGAGACAGAGAATGGGACCTTGCCAGAGAGATGATGCCGTCTACCACTCGCTGGTCACCGGTCTCTAGTTGCCGCTTGTGGAAGGAGATGATCCAAAAGGTACCACCAACACTGATGTGGAAGAGAAGAAACTTCCAAGTTCTTCCAAGTTAAGGGAGGGAGACTATCTAAGAAGAATTAGGGTTAGGTAGAAAATAATATGTGTATTATTATATTTTTGATAATATATTATTAATAGTTATATATATATATATATATTAATATATATAATATTGTTAGGCCAGGCTTTTATGTGAAATCCTGAGCCCGACCTGAAATTGAGTTGGGCTTAGACAATAGGGCCCGGGCCCGGGTCCACAGGCCTAATAATATTGTCCAAGCCCAATCATAGTCGGGCTGAGCTGTTGGGCTACTTGGCCCATGAACAGGTCTAATGGTGAGTATATTATACTTATAATAGAATGAAAATATTCTTTAACACAAAGAATAAGTGCAAATTTGGGAGGGCTTTTACATAATAGCTTCAAGCAATACATGAGTTGAGAAACTGGTGAAATACCAAATAGTTTCTCCAAAGTAGCTTAGTCAATGTAGAAGCCCTCCCAAATGGCCCTAAGCAAGATAAATTCAATTCTAGGCTAGTTTAAAATAGTAGAATGGTCGTGCATAGGGATGTCAATGGGTCGGGTTAAATGGTAAATCCAGTTTCAGGGTCAGAGTATTTGGCTTTAGGGTTGGGTTAGGGTATTGATTCGTCAACCCGAGTTGTGTTCAGGTTGGGTTTGGGTTTTGGTTGGCCCAGCCTGTCGGGTCATGATATCCTCCATATATACAAAGTATTCTTGACTTTTTGACTTCTAACTCTATAGTCTTAAAGTTTAAGATTTATTTACATGTTGATTTTGGTTTTCTTCTTTAAAAAAATGGGAAAAAGTGACACTTCATAATCTATAAAAGAATTTCCTAACTTAAATTAATAGATTTTGGGTCTTAAATCACACCATATTAACCTATGCTAACCCCTACTTTTAACTTATACATATTTAATAAATGTATATAAATATAACATATTAAAATTGTCAGTTATGAATTTAGAATAATTGTATATAATATCTATCTATTTGCATAAATATACTACATACATACATACAGAAAATAATGATTTTTAATCAAACATGAATTTTAATTAGATATGATGAGGTTAAATCCACATCTGATCTGATTATTAATTGAATGCAAGTTCTAACATTTAAATACAGGTTAACTACATATAGTGTCAAATTGGGTATCAAACTTTYGAATTCCATTGACTGCCCTACCTTTGACCACAAAAAGTAGGGAGAAGAGGTATTTTCTCAAATTAAGCTAATGCTTAAACTTATTAATGTTTTTTCATAATAATTAGGGGGTGTTTATCAATGGGAATTGTTTTATTTTGATTTGTTATGTTTAATAAAACCAACTTTTGCATCAGCAAAGATATATTATTTTTGTTGACATTGCAGCTATTTTTGTTTTAGAAAACAAAACATTCACATTGGCGAACACTCCTTAAGAGTGTTGATAGATAGGTCATTGAATCAATCCATTGGTTGGACCTTTTGACCCATGAGCTAGTTACCAAGTTCCACAACATTTCAAGGGGTGAATATGCCAATAGGTGAACTTGAGGAGAAATCTTTAGCATTTGATCTAAACCCCGGCCAATCCACAGAAAAAACCTCCTTTAGTTTTTTTCCATGTTCTATTCTCCACTATTCTGATCAATTAGGTTTCCCACAAGACATTCATCACATTGCCTATTCCAAGCTAAATTCCACACATTAATTGGAGACCCCTTGTGAACATTATGAAACCCTAGCTATAGGATATAATTTAATTAGGTATATCACATTGCCATACTAATAGCCTTCCAAATGGGCACCTTATGAGATCTAGCATTTTATTGTCCTCTTAAGGGTGAGGTCATATGCTAACCCTGTATTTAAGTAGCCTGGTTAGGGCTGCAAGTGACTTTAATCTGCTAAGAAAAGATTGTGTGCAAAYCAAGATTTAAAGTATCGATATGTATCARCTGATATGTATCATATTTCCTGATATGCCCCTACAGGGTGTATTTGGGTTTTGACCAGTTCAGGGAGTGAACAGACCTTAAACCGGCCCCTTTGAACCAGATTTAAAAACAAACTAAAAAAAACTAAAAAAACTACTGATACTGCCCAATATGCCTCTACCAATGTATCGGGCATATCAATATTTTCAACCTTGGTGTAAACTATACACCCAATCACAAAAAAAAAAAATAAATTGCTAATTCATCTTGTTTCTAGTAGWTCTGGAGTTGCAGTTGGCATGGATGCAGTGTACACTAAGAATACACAATGTGTCAAATGCGGAGAACTGCAGTCTAGTCGGCTCTTCACAAGCACAGGAAGGAACTAAGTGCCCGTTTGGGAGGGCTTTCCTGAATGGCTTCTAAGTTCACATTGCAAGATATAGGCCCCCCACACACAAAATGTCAATAAGCCATATTTGGTGAAAACTGAAAACCCCAGCAAGCGAGAAACATATTGTCGTTGAGATGTAACCTCAACTCGCCATTGGAGCTAATTTTGGTAGCCGAAGCCACTCAGTCTTGGTCAATGCAGAATTTGGTTGCTGACCATTTACTCTGTTTTAAAGCTGAACCAATGTCACCAACTTTTGCAATTCTCTTAAGCGAAACCAAACCGATACCACTGGTTAACACTGGTCAGTTCGATTAACAATTGTTTCTTTTGGTTAACTGAAATCTGAACCAATCCTTTGGTTTTTCAAAAAATAAAAAACCGAAATCAATCCGATTGATTTGGTTAAACGCATTTTTCGGTTCATTTTCTCGGTTCATTTTCTCGGTTCAAATGTTCAATTGGTTTTTTATCCCTCCCAAACGGGCTCTAAATAGTCATTAGCGACCTAGCATTGAGATTAAGAGTATATACTCTTAATGTGCGACTCATACCGAGTCAAAGGCATGACCTTGTACAGCCACATTCAAATACAGTGAAAGATGAAAGTTGGGAAAACTTGTAGATCCTTCATTGTTCCTTCCTTGGTAAAGTACAAGCTATGAGAAAAAGTAAGCTAGAATTAACATTTAATAATTCACTCGTACAACTTCTGAAGCTCATCTTTGAACTTGGCTTTCAGCTGCTCCCTCTTCAACTTCAGAGCAGCAGTTACTAATCCAGATTCTGGTGTCCATGGATCCGGCAACAACCTAATCTTTGCTGGAATTTCAAACTTTTCAAGCTTTGCAGCTTTCGCTACCTGTATAAAGCAATAGAATTCTCAAAATCTACTTCAGAATTAACAGAGAAAGGTATGCCACATGCATAAACTTCTTGTATCACCCACAAATTACTGTCTAGTACAATTAGTATTCTCTTGCATCCATTTAAGTTGACAAGGTTATCTGCATATGTAGATTATTTCCCCTAAAATCTTCAAATAAAACAAGAATAATTAACTAACYTTGGAAAGGGATTGCTGAACTTCACGAACTGTTTCTTCTTTCAGGCACAAATCTGGAAAATCTTTGTACTCAATGCCAGCACTCTGGGCCCAGTTTTCAATGACCTTCTGTGGAGGCACTACCAATGCTACACAGTAGCTATGGAAGGGATCTGCATGGACCATGATATTTTCCACGTAGTTGCTTGATATCAAAGCTGCCTCAACCTGAAAACAAAGATTCAGTCAATTAAATTTGATTACTCTAAGAATATCAAGAGAGAACCTTAATTTAGTAGGGCCCGTATGATCTCTTAGGTTGCAGAAGTCTATGAATAGACCATCGTAAGATTGTTGGGAAAATCCAAATGTTAATACCTAATTCTCCTAGGTTTATGTTTAGATGGTTCAAAGTTTCAGTATATGTATGTCAAAAGAAAAGAGAACAGCCGAAAATTTCCTATGCACCTTCCCAAGGGAGACGTATTCTCCATGTTGAAGTTTGACAATATCCTTCTTCCTATCAATAATTTCAAGGCATCCATCTGGGTGGAACTGTCCTATATCACCAGTGTAGAACCAGCGCAAACCCTTCTCATCAACCTGTTACATTTACAAAACCATCAGAATAGTAACAGGGTCCAACTTCAGAATGTGAATAAATGACAAGGTAGGAGAACTCACTTTGTACACCTCTTTGGTTTTGTCATCATTTTTGAAGTAACCCAAAGTTATACTGGGCCCTCCGACTACAATCTCTCCTCGAGGCATTGGTTTGTCAGAAATTGTATATCCTCCCTCTTCCCAAGAGACAAGCTGGAAAAGAAAAACAACAATCAAATAAGAAATATATGCTTACAACTTATGAATTTATAGTTGACAATCGCAAAACATTTACTCATAGCTTAATGAAAAGAATGATTGTTGTACTTTGAATGATTGTTGTACTTTGAAGTTATTTATGGTTGACAATCAAATAAGAAATATATGCTTACAACTCATAGCTTAATACCTACTGCTAACCAGCTGTTAAGTGGAATGTGAAAGGACACAAATGCCCTTCAAATGTCATCTAATTTTCTTTATCAACCAAACCATATTGAAGTTGCCTTATTTTTGATAGCCAAGATGAACTAACCACTCCATCCATCAAACCACTTCCTCTGGCAACCGTAACAGCACTTGATTTAATAAACAATGACCTTCTCAAGTTCTCGAAGGCACATGATTCCTGAAAGAAACTACTGTTTCAGATCCGTCTTCACTCAGCACTTATAATTCCAGCGGCAACGATGGCTTTGCCASTAGGAAGCTAGCGTTTTCTTGCTGGCTATTTGCATACTTGGTCAGATGCACATTCTCCTTCCTAAGTCATTCGTTCTCATCGAGAAGCTCTGTCGTGCTGCTGTAGCTTGTCGTTCTACATACCATAGTGGCACTGGTCAATGGTAATGAGCCTCTCACTTTTTCTCTGCAAAGCTACAATAGCATTGTCGGTTCAAGTATAGGTGGCGCTTCAGGGAGCATTGAGGTGATTTGGGAATCGAGAACCATTACTCCCCACCACCCCCAATTGACACTCAGGACAAGTAGCAGTGCACTGTGCACCACTACGACACAGGTGCATGATCCCAGAGTGATTCACCTCAAATATTCACCCAGTATTGGGTGATCAATGTGCATGGGTCCAAAAAGACATGACAAATATGTTGTTGGACAAAGTAACCATGCTTTGATGAGACCAGAACTAATGAGATTGGCAATCCAATCCTTAAGCCAGCTTGGTTGACACCAAACAATCCTAAAACTAGGTTTGGGCCATAGAATTCCTCAAGTAAAAAGAGGCTCATGATCTTAATTAGAAGTAAGAGAGAGCTCGAAAAGGCCTAAGACAACAAATTTCAGATGGCTACAAATGAGAGAGAGGAAAACCAAGTTGTTTTGTCCCCAACTATGGATATGAGGGGTGCTCTTAATCAGTTAACATAGACAATGCAGCTGAACCTAGGAAGAGCATTGCAAACATTGAAGAATGAGAAGCACTTGGCATTATTCAATTAGATTTATCAAATTTCGATTGTACGATTGAAACTTTTCTTCCCTTGATAATAAACACTGACAGGAATGCCAATTTATCTATCCATGCTTCCCCAAAGGATGTTCTGTCTTCTGTGGTTGCCTGTCTATCTGTTGTGATTGCTACTTGTTACCACCATTTTCGGTGTGGATATATTAGAAATCAAGGCACTGAAATGGAGGCTTTCTGATTCACAAGTACAGAGTAGAAATATGCTAAACGAAGAGACGGAAAAAAAAGACACTGTATAGGCCGAAGGCCCTAGGTTTGATGGAAAACTATATAACATTACCTCCACCAGCGGTTCTCAATCTTTGCCATTTTTCAGTAGCGGCAGAATCTCCATGATGGCCGTTTCTCTGACCCAAACTGGGAGGCATAGAGCTCTGATACCAAATCATATTATCGGCCAATATTGTGGATTGTGATCATGAGTGTGATATAGATGAACCAGGCTCATGTGACTTAGTGCTTTGCACCTCTATTTCATCTTAAGGAAAAAGATGATGAACATTGTTTTATTTTGAAGGGTAGTTTTGCCATTTTCAAAAGTTTTAAATCGCACATGATGTCGTGTGATACACATAACTGATGGCTGGTTAACTGTAGGTACTAAATTGGCACGTTTTGAAGTTTGGGGACCAAAGTGATACTAGGCCCAAAATACAGAGTACTAATCTGCAATTTTATCTAACTGACTAAAATGTTGTTTACAAACCAGGAAAATAAGTTAAGATGCACATACCTTAATGTAGCAGCAAGGAAGTGGTGGACCCACACGACCCACAGTCATGTCATCACTTTCAGAAAAAGCTGCTCCAGCACATGTTTCAGTCAAACCATATCCTTGACCTATAGGAGCTCTGAAGAAGGAAACCATGTCAGAAAATCATAAGCATGGTTACAGTTTCCCTAAAATTTGTTGATATTTCCCATGAAATTGGTCTCAAAAATTATATATGGAAATAACATCCAAAATTACATAATTTGAAAAAATATTGGTAACATTTCTACCAAAACATTCCATATGTTGACATTTTGAGAAATTACATCAAAGCCTGGAAACTCAACCCTGCCAGAAAGTTCTCCATTAAATCCTTTTTCAGGGCCCTTATTTCAAAGGATCTCATTTCAAACTTCCCTTATAAAAAGATTTGGTGCCCTCATGTCCCTCCTAGAGTCTCTTTCTTTCTTTGAGATTTCCCTTGTTTAATTGTTTGCTCCTCTTGTATATCATCTCATGTACCAGTTTTATTTTTAATGAAGTTCTGTTATCTTCCATCTCAGAAAAAAGAAAAATATATCAAAGCCTGAAAAAATTTGGGCATAAACAAAAGATATGCCAACAAGAGTCAAATTTTTATGGATACTCTTTAAATGCCAATGCATCCAGTACAGCTATTAGTGAGTACTTTGTTTCTTAAACTTATCACATAGGGTCCTAGGTTGCCTAATGAATAACCATCAAAATTTAGTTTCTCTTCCTACCTTGGGGGCTCCATTCTTGAACAACTGGTTAATCAAATCCTTAATTAATTTGATTCCATGGGATCCACTTGAGCAGGCCAACTCTGCTAGAATTGGCCCAGTTCATGGGCTGTCTTGTGCGTGGACTGCAAGTATGGGTTGTAAGGCCATGGTATCCTTTTTAGCTCATTTCTCCTTTCTATCAATACCAGTTTTTACAAAGTATAGATTCTTTTGAGTTTCCCCTAGATTTGATCTTCACTTTACCAATTTGACAAGTTTCAAGCCTATGAAAGTTATTTATCAACTGCAAAAATAATATGCTGATTTATCTAAAAATGAACAGTATGATTTTATAATGTGCTATAATAACTACAGGCATTGCTGCAAAGTTTATGTATAGGTTTCCTTCTACTAAGTACTAACTATATCAGTTTAAGTTTACATGTTGCCTTCCAAAAATATACTTCTAAAAACAAAACCTAATATAACACAATAAGAAATTAAGAATACATGTTAGCTATTTATGATTATTTAGGGATGAGAAAAAGGGCATTACCCTAGGCAGACATTGATGAACCGTTGAGTATCASCAGACAATGGAGCTCCACCACAGAGCATGAAGTGGACATGTCCCCCAAGAATAGATCGTATTTTTTTGAAAACAATAGCATCCCATATAATTCTTTCTAGTCCCCAACCCCCAAGCCAGCTTCCTTCAATTGCTGCTAGTCTGCGCTTAAAAGCCAAGTTGAACAATTTCTTTGCCAACCCACCCTTCTCCCCAACCTTCAAAGAGATTGGAAACCTAATGTCAATAGCAAACCTATATAATCAAATCAAGGAAAGATGCTACATGAAGGTACCAACTGGCTCAGTTGGTAAGGTCTTTGGCTGGTTGTAGCAGAGACTTGGGATCAATTCCCGCCTTCACCTGCGTTGGGGGGTTGTGGGTATGGGGGATGGGCTATCCCCCGTTGTGTAGCCCCTACGAAGCCAAAAGTAAAATAAAATGATAATAATAATAATAATAATAATAATTCAAGACAGTTGGCAAAATAAATGATTACTTATATGATTTATTAACCCATAGCAAGATAGTTCAGACCTTTTTCTGCACTCCATCCCGAACACGGTCTAAAATAGCTGGAACAGCTGCCATAAGTGTCGGTTTCAACACAGAAGCATCTCCCAATGTCCCTTTCTTAATTTTATTTGAGGTGTCTGTTAATGTTAATGTTGAACCGTACCCAATTGGACAACCTACAGACAACATCACAGTCTGGACAACCACATGTACATGCGAAGTTAATATAGAAAAAATAGAATACATTGTCTAGAGACACACAAGAAGGGCTAATATATGAGGACCTCAGCTGCCAGTTCAAAAACATGAGCAAGGGGCAAGTATGCCAAGTACACATCACTTTTGCCTATTCCAGGAACGACTGTTGTAACTGCTGCTGCAGTTGCTACAATGTTGCCATGAGTCATCATAACTCCCTTCAGTACCAATAAGAACATCATTTAAGACAGCAGAATAAAGCAAGAAATTAATCCATAAAATAATATTTACTTGAGGTAGTAGCAAAGAAAATGAATAAATAAGAGAAAACCTTCCTGTTCTTCTGGGTTTGCCATGCAAGAAGAGGCATAAATTCAATTCATGTTTCAGAAACATTCAAGATTATTTTCTTTTGAGTAATGGTTAATAAACAAAAGATGCTACCTTAGTTTGTAACAATGTCATCGTCTGTGGCATATAAGCAACAATTGGTGAAATTTATTAGAAAGAAACAACTGACCAAACCTTTGGTAGACCTGTACTGCCACTTGTATACATGATGACAGCAACATCAGTTTTGGAAGGTAATCTTGGATTAACAGGACTCTCTTTTCCCAGTTTCTGAATTTCAGAGAAAGATGAAACTGTCCAATTACTCGTATCCCCAAATAAACCAGAATCAATTGTAGCTCCATCCTCCTCTTCAAAGTAAATAATGCGCTTAATAGTTTCCAAGCTTGAGCTTATTGCAGCCAACTTTTTCAATTGCTTGGAATCACAGATCAAGGTCGATACTTGGGTCTGACATCCAAAACAATATACAAGAGAAGTGAAAAGAAATCTCCATGTGAAATAAGACATCAATTCATTATAAACAGCCCAAGCATAACACAATCTGCATGCTGATCAGCTACCAAAGAGCACTGTTACCAACCTGGTTGAGTGAGTGAATGAGAGCATCCTCGCCTAGAGACGCATAAATGGTAACAATTGTAATATTCTGACGGAAGCATCCCTGACATCAGGAAACAGGAAAATCTGCTGTCATTTCTCCAGGAAGAAGTTAAAATGATAAGGCATTAAAACAAAGCATGCCCTTCTAGGCTACCTGAAAAGCAAGAAGCCACTCTGCCCGTGTTTCAGAAAAAATTGCAGCAGGACTCTCAGGACTATGACCCAACTTAACTAGACCAGAAGCAAAGTTGCAGGCACGGTCAAATGCTTCTCCATAAGTTATCCATTCATAATCCCCCAGGTGTAACTTCTCAAACTTCCTCCCATCATTGGCTGTGATTAATTCTTTGCCGATAAGCTTTCTTGTTCCAAGAAACCTATCACGGGCATTCTTTTTACAAGATTGTTCAAACAGAGCCGCCATGGTTGTGGCCCCTTCCCATGGAACTTCAACTAATTTATCAAATCTACGATTACGCATCGCAAAACCTGGCTCACCACCAACCTCTACCTGTACCCCTCTTTGTTTACCCTTTTTCTTCACTAAGAATACAGTAGAAAGCAGAAATGGTATGACAATACCCAGAGTAATTGCACCCAGAATCCCATAGTTATTTCCACCCATGAGATAATCACCTTGGGCCAAGCGTTCCAGCCAAGTCAAAATTCTGTCCTTATAAGCTTCCATGGTGTATTAACTATATATGGATATATACCATATCCCTCCAAGAGTATAACAAGATGATTATCTGAAATAAACAACCAAGATTGACGGTGGATTAAATCAAAATTCAACCAAATTCAGTTCATAGACATTGAAGGAATAGAAAATCATAATGGAAACCATGTATTATCCGCATGAGAATATAGTTAAGGCCTCATCAAAACAAAAATTTATTCAACAAACCCGTACGAATGCACGAGCAAATTCCATCAAAGGTTCAAGAATCCATTTATCAGCAAGTTAGCAATCCAAATAAGGATTGGATTTTGATAATACCTTTTGTTCCACACTCACAGAACCTGTGCATCAGCACCACCAATCAAGCATATTTATTATATAAATCAATCTCTAGAGAAGCACTATGTTTGGATGAATGCAATTGAAAGAAATATCAAATGAAGTCACTTAAAATCCCTATTGGGAGATCTGGGCGCCGGCTGCCCATCCACCTAAAAGTTTGGGTTTCTGTAAAACGAACACCATTAAAGAAAAACACCTATGACGAAATCAACTGTTCAATTGAACTTGCTTTATATCTAGCTAGCTTGTATTGAAGGCCAAAAGTGCCCAGCCAACACTACATCAGTTGCAAAATGCAAAGAGGTATCAATAAAAAAGAATTTCAGAGTAGACACCTCAAAGGTGCCGGGATTGTGAATTTAGAGGAATTTATGGAATTCAAATAAGGCAGTTGGAGAAGAACAGAAAGAAAGAAAGAAACCAATGTCAATAAAGAAGCTGCTAAATGTTGGACTCTTACTTGCTAGTCTCAGTGGTATAGGCCAACTGCCGGCGAAGTGGTTGAAGCCCGTTTTTTGGACAGGAGGCCCTAAGCACAAGATAAAGGAATTTGACTACTGGGATGATGGGTGGTTACCGTCATCCTAGTCCATGACAGGAGACATGGGGAATGGTGGTAAGGCATGGAAACTTTTGGCAAAGTACTGAACGATGGTGAGACGTGTTCTCTAGACAGAATATGGCCAGGATGCATGTTTAAATGGTGTAGTATAATAAACAAGGACACTGGGATGCAACTCATGTAAGACACATGTTGGTTTTAAGTGAGAGTTCTGACATGTATTGTCTTTATTGTATTTATATTGATATTAGATTGTCTGAGTCTGAGCCCAAGCTGAGTACTGTACTAGGTGTCCTCGACCATCCGGTGAGGCCAATTGATAACAGCTGATGTGGTAGAACTGAAGATAACCTAACCAGTTCAGCCTCTTCAGATGTCATCCTTAATTACTTGCAATGCTGTGCAAAATTTTCCATCTCTTAACTGGGTTGAATTGGCAAAACCAGGCGTAGTCAAAAGTTCTAGATAAGAAAAATAACCCCGCAGCACTAATCTGCTATAAACCCATTTTAGAGGATTGAAATTTCAACTAAGGAGAACAATGCATAACATTAAATCCCAGACAAGATGCATAGAAGCCAATAAAACATAAACGGAAAGACAGAGAGAAAAAACGATGCAGGAAATTCAAAAGAACAACCAGATTCCATATGATAGATCATAGATTTAAGGTAATCATCTGAAAGAAATAAAGCTAACTTCAAACTGGTTAAACGTCTAAAACAGGGATGAAGCAAATATGAAATTCATCATCATCTTAAGTTCATCAAATATTAATTCAATGAATTCAATCTTAACCAGGATTCATCCAGAACCATGAAACTCTACTGCTACGCGAGTAAAACCAACCTTTGAATGATAGCAAACAGAATCTCAACAGAGTCAGACAAAGAAAATAGGTAACAGATAATTCAAATTTAAAACCAGAGATCTGATGATGAGAGAGGAAAAACAAACCCCAGATCGGAAAATATTTTCCTCTTTCCTCCGAAGGAGAGTGATTCGGAAGATGGAGAGAGAAAGAGGGCGTTTCTGTTTCTGCTATTTTCTGCACGTAAAAGCAGGGGATCTCAGTCTATCACTTAACGAAATTACGAAAGTGGAAAGAGAAAGTATCTAATTTGGAGGACTGATGGAGATAATTAAAATAAACTCTCCTTTATGTTAATATTACGAAACCACCACGATAAGATAACACATTTGGTGCGTATCAGGGTTTTGATTTTTTTCGGTATAGTGGCTTTCCGGCAGTATAGATTTTTCCAAAAGCCGCGTTTGGCTGCGGTGCAAATTTTGTGCTGATGCAGAATTATGATCGTGCAAATTCTGATTTAATTTTGTTTCATAAACCATGTTGTAAGGTGCCAACTAGCTAATTGGGTAAATTCTCGGGTTGTTTGTAGCGGAGACTAAGATCAGGTGCCAACTGGCTAATTGGGTAAATTCTCAGGCTGTTTGTAGCGGAGACGGTTTGAGGGATCCCATGGAGCAATAAATAAATAAATAAATGATTGGTTATCATTTATCAATGATTGATCAATGGTGGTATTGTATTTATCTACATTTTGGAAATTATTTTTGGGCCTTTAAGGGGTATTTTCGACATATCATGATATAGGRAAAATCTATCATGTGGAAAAGATATGGTATGGGAAAAGTTTTGATCAATCAAAACTTTTGATTGATCAAAACCTATTCATGAATTTTGATAAATAACACCTTATGATTCCACTTGATTCATAGAAGTTTACCAGATATCATATCTTTTTTATATCATAGTCAAACGCCATGATATATTCATGGTTTTTTCTCTCTCTCTAATCAAATGTGACAATGAGACAAAGGGCTACCATCACCGTAAGCACGCGACTCAAAGCATCCCACATTACATTCCAACTATGCACTCGAAACAGGGTTCGGATATGCTACTCACGAGTTGTTCCCGCATCTCTATCCATGAGACATTATAGTTGCATATGGGGAATATCTCCCTTGATGCTTCCAAAAAGAGCGATAGTAGATGTGTGATTGGGTCCAAAGAGTACGAATACAAATGTGTAGAGTGCAAAACTTTGTACTTCATATTATTTTATAGGAAAAATTCTCGATTAGTACCATGTACTTTGGGCATAGTGCCACTTTGTCCCCAAACTTTAAAATGCGACAATTCAGTATCCAAACTTTTATAACATGACAATCTAGTACCTATTGTTAACTAGTTGTTAACCAGTTGTTAAGTAGCACTTGAAAAAGACACAAATGCCCTTCAAGTGTTATTTAATTTTCTTTATCAACTATTAAACGTTGACAAAAAATTAACAGTCCCAAATCTTTGTCTTTTCCATTCAAGAAAGTTGGGTCACGTTTGAATGGGCATTCTGGTGACCCACCCCAACTTTATTGAATAGAAGAGGCAAGGATTTGAGACCGTTAAGTCAATGTTTGAATGGTTAATAAAGAAAATTAGATGACGTTCAAAGGGCATTTGTGTCTTTTTCAAATGCTACTTAATGGTTGGTAAACARCTAGTTAAGAACAGGTATTGGATTGTCATATTTTGAAAGTTTGGRTACTGAATTRTCGCATTTTAAAATTCGGGGACCAAAGTGGCACTAGGCCCAAAGTACAGGATACTAAACGGGAATTTTCCCTATTTTATATCTCTGTGTACTCTTTTAAAATTAAGCTTTTAGGGAAAGAATACAAATACAAATACATACAAAACAATACAAAATAGAAAGTGTTACATTCTAATTGTTTGTATTTGCACTCCTTCCAAAYTGAGTAATGCAAATAGAGTCATCATTGAAGGGGATTTATAACTCATCATCAGCTGTCTAAAAGAAGCAACAAATAGAGTCATCATGGACTAGTGCAAGCAAATAATCTCTAACAAAAGAATTCATATCAATTATAACCACTTTTTTAGAGAAACTAACCAAGCAGTTGCCTAGCTAGCAAATAAAGGTCTAGATGGTTTCTTAAATCTGTTTGAGAAGAATGTGAATACAAATATGTATAATGCAAAACCACACAAATAGTTCCCAAATCCTTGTCCACAKAACACCATCGCCATGTATAGAAAACTCTCCCCATGAATGACAAGGGAGATATTCCCAATGTGCAGCTGTAATATCCCGTGGATAGGTATGTGGGAACAGCTTGTGGGTAGCACATACAAGCCCGTGCCAAAACCTCATATACAAATATGGTTTCCTATGCTCTGTTTGGGAAAAGTGTAAATACAAATATAAGGTTTAAAACAAGGTTTTGSAGCACACATATTTGTATTTGCATTCATTCCAAACTTAGGGTCAGTTTTGGAAAGAGTGCAAATGCAAATATATACACTGCAAATTTTGTACTCATCTCAAAATTTGCACAGTACATATTTGTATTTATACTATTGTCAAACTGAGGCCGAGAAAATTCTACTTTGTTGTAAAACCTTAATTACATTTGTTTTGCTGATTTTTGGGAATTTACATATAAAGTATATGTTAGAGATATATTAGAGACAACCACCTTGTGGGTTATGAAACCGATGATAATGCTTCACACCAGTCATAAAATACATTTGGCCCACAACCATTCTCTCTCTCACTTAATATTTATCTTAGGGGTGGTGACACTTTGGCCTCCTCAGCTTTGTTTTACAACAAACACCCCTCAAATGTTAATTTTAAAATCCAACTACCCTTAAATGTTATTTTATGAAACTTCTTAGTTTTATTTCCTAAAATTCTTACTTATCATTCATTTTGATATTTGTCAATGACAATTAATAAAATTTTAAATGGGCAATTTAATAATTTTACTTTCACCGTTTACCCTACTAGCGGGTTAGGAGCAAAGTGCTGAATTAGCACTTGAGGTTATAAAAAATTTTGATTATTAATTAAAAAAAAAAAAACAGATGACCTAATCTTTCTTGTGAATTAAATTATTATTATTTTTAACTATAAAAGATATTCCCCTTTTATAATATATGAATATGATGTAGATCAGCACCAATGGACGGTTAGGATTTACCCACATTCTTCCTATGGATGGAGTTATATACGTCATTTAGACAACACCACCTTATTTTTATAACTTTCTTCTTGACAGTAGACCCCAATCCTATTGAAACAATTAATCCATTGTCCACCTCTGTGTTTATAAATTAATAACATATGAAAACTTGAGGGATTCAATTGTTTTTTGATGCGCAGAGAACTAGACAAAATCTCTGAGCTTGGTTATTTGTTTATAATATCTAAATATATTTTTTTTAATTATATTTTGTTTATGTTTCATCATTCATGTTCCATATAAGCAATAGATGTAAACTATAATAATTAAGTCAGAATTATTGCTTGGAGAGAAAGCAAAATTCCGTGAGAACTGAGAAGAGAACGTTGATTTATTCTAAACCCCAATCTTATCTCTTCCCTCTATGCGAGCATATCTTCTGCGATAAGTAATTAATTTTTAGATGCTTAAGTGCCCTTTGCATCTTTCGAGAGATGGGTTTTGTTTTGTTTCTTTAAGCCTGAAGGAAGATTTAAGAAACTAATGCTCAGTTTGAAAGGAATATAAATACAAATATAACCAACGATGTCCATTGAGGCTTCTGCTTTTGATCTAGTTAGGTATCGTAAGATTCACTTCACAAYACTCCAATGCTCTTTTCTTAGATTACTCGTGAATCTATTCATCACACTAACTGCATAAGAGATGTTTGGTCTGGTATACACCATTGTACACATCAAACATCTTAACCGCATTTGCATATAGATGATGCATCTGCCATATAATCCACCTCTTCTTTGGTGCTTGGACTCAATTGCAAAGAGAGCTTAAAATGAGCTGCTAGTGGTGTCTTCACAGGCTTGGCTTCAGACATACCAAACCTTTTTAGCATCCTTTCAATATATTTCTTTTGGTGTACCCACAACTTTCCAGCTCCCCTGTTTTTGACTATTTCCATGCCCAACATCTTCTTCACTGGTCCCAAGTCTAAACATCTTGACATTATAAATTTCAAACTTATTCTTTGTAGCTATTAACATATCATCTACATATAAAGTTAAAATCACAAAAGTACCATTGGAAAGTGATTTAAAATAAACACAAGCATCATATTCGCAACATAAACTCATTAATTCATTTGTACCATTGTCTAGGTGACTCCTCCAAACCATACAATGATTTCTTCAATTTGCAGACATAATCTTCCTTTCTAGGTTTCTGAAACCCTTCTGGTTGCTGCATGTAAATATCCTCTTCTAGCTCACCATGCAAAAATTCTGTCTTTACATCTAATTGTTCCAACTCCATATCAAACAATGTTACAATATTAAACAATACTCTGATGGATGTGCGCTTTACCACTAGTGAGAAAATCCCATTATAATCAATCATTCTTTCTGTGAATATCCTTTTGCAAACAGTCGAGCCTTGAATTTTACATGTTCGTTTTCTAACATATCTTCCTTTTTCTAAACACCCACTTGCATCAAATCACCTTTTTGCCCTTTAACAAATTCACAAGTTCCCATGTCCGATTCTCGTGTAGTGACTCCATCTCCTCCGACATTGTCGATAGCCACTTGTCCTTATCCTTATCTTGCATGGCATCCTTAAAGGAGAATGGATCACCACTACTCGTTACCAAAGCAAATGAAATCATGTCTTCAAAACCATACCTCTGTGGTGCCTTGTGGGTTTTCTTCTCTCTACCTTTGGCGGTCCTATATGGTTTGGCTCGGGATCCTTCATCTTCTTTTTCTTGTGAAGTGTTCTCTAGCTCCATCTCGACATTATGCTTCTACCCTGGATCTTAGTAGATTCATCTCTTGCTATGTCCTTTAGCATAGATTTCTCATCAAATACCACATCTCTACTGATGATCTTCTTCTTGGTGATAGGATCCCAAAGTACATAACCTTTCAGTGCCTCACATATCCAAGGAAAATGCAACTCTTTGACTTGGCATCTAACTTGGATCTCTGCTTCAGGTTCTTGGCATCTTCCAAGTGTTGTTTAAATTCATGCTTTTCTATCTTTGCAACAAGTCCTTCAATGGATTCCTCCTCTCGATAGATTTCCTATGTATTTCAT